AAGAAAAATAGTCAGAAAATAGATCTTTGTTCATGGAAGTTAACTGGAAGCTGCAGTTGCCCACAAGCTTGCATCAAAGTCTTTAACTGTTTGTGTGCTAGAGGGTATTACTAAAAAAAATCTAATTTAAATTAACTTTAATCTGGGTCAGTCTTACAAAAATATGAGTTTATTTTTTTTCTACAAATAAAAAGGACAATTTCAAAAACATCCTAAGCATTTGAATTAATGTTGTTGAAATCAATAAGAAAATTATTTGTTTTTAACTATATATATATTTTTATATATATATATACTGGTGCTTTATGACTGCAGTCTTAGATTATACCCATATATACATCTCCAGAGGCAGTATGTCAAAGTCACAGGTTCTGGTACTGGCTATATCATTTCAGTCTTTTTTTTTTTCTGTGGTCAGAAAATATTAAAATGTGTCCCATTAATAAGACTAAAGTGCAAATTCAAAGTGAATTTCTAAATGAAGGTCTAAATAGCCAAACCGGAATACTTTTCAAGTCAGTTATTCTTTCACTTTGGCTACTCTTAAACTTAAAGAAATAACCCTGCGAGTTGTAATTTAGTAACATCTGAATTTCATTATTTACTGGGGTGCTATGTTATCAGGTCTAATGGGTCAAATGGCTACCAAGGAATGGCTAGCAAGAGCCTTATGAGCAATCATTTTGATTAAGTGGCAGGGTCCCAGGTTGCCTAGTGCCTTGTTGGTCATTATAACAACTTTAAACTAAATTCTGAATCTTGTAGTTCTGGAACAGTACTATAATTTTAGAAAATGCTATGTTCGTTGGTTCCTTATTGGAAAATGTAAACCTGTGAAGTCATGTGCATTGCGATACATATTTGGATACATGATAACATGAGGTCTCTAGCTTATATTATCACGTGATTTACGCAATCTATGAGGCCTCTCATGGAAACCAGAAACAAATAATTAAATTAACATATGGTAAACAATATACTTGGAGATTAATTTCAAAATCCCAAACTCTAGGCTGAAATTAACAAATTATGAATCAATTGAAATGCATAATGGCTGTGCATTAAACATAACTTAAACATTGTGTGTGTGTGTGTGTGTGTTTGTCTCTATGTGTCTGTCTGTGTGCCTGTGTGTGTGTCTGTATGTATGTGTCTGTCTGTGTGCCTGTGTGTGTGTCTGTCTGTATGTGTGTGTCTGTGTGCTTGTCTATTTGAATGTATGTATGTGCCTTTATATGTATGTGTGTCTTTGTGTGTGTGTGTGTGTCTGTATGTATTTATAACTGTCTGTATGTGTGTGTATGTGTCTGTCTGTGTGTATGTGTGCCTGTCTGTTTGTGTGTGTCTGTCTGTATGTATGTGTGTGTCTGTCTGTATGTGTGCCTGTCTGTTTGTATGTTTGTGTGTGTGCCTGTCTGTGTCTGTGTCAGTCTGTATGTATATATGTGTGCCTGTCTGTTTGTATGTGTGTGTGTCTGTGTGTGTATGTGTCTCTATGTATGTTTGTATGTGTGTGTGTCTGTCTGTCAGGGGGGGAGATAGGGGGGGGGGCACTGATCAGTTTCGCACTGGAGCCCAATGGATTGTGTACGCCACTGATGTGCATGTTTGTTTCAGGTTGGGATTTTGAATTCCACCCATGTCACCAAAAAAGAGATGAATAATGGGAAAAAAATGATTAATGGCTAGGGGCAGTCATTAACTATTGATTTTATACACCGAAACGTGAGAGGTGAGGAATCGAGGGAATAAAAGAGTAGCAGTAAAAATTGTATATGTATATATTGCATATTTAATAAAAATGTAATATATAAATATAGATTTTTTTTCTTTTTGTATTACTCCTCCTGTTATTCCCACTATTACATTTTCTCACTAGATCTGTGAAACAAATAGCGGGGAAATTTTCCTGTGTACTCCAAAAATAAATAGATGGTTACCTTACAAACAAGATTGAACTGTTAAGGAACAAATTTTACCCCCATTTGCTTCTCTATCTCTCAATTGCACTTGGTCAATGCCTTTTCTACCCTTCAGATCTTCTCTCCAGTTACTGACATGGCTGTGTTTCTCTCCCCCCAACCCCCCACTTTCCTGCTTGATGCTGCCCAGTCTCAACTTATAAGATATCTCTCTCCTTGTCTTGTGCCTACCTTAACACATATCTGGGTTGTTTTTTTTTTGCCATTTCCCCTGCTCCCCTTAAACATGCTACTGTAGTATTTTAAAAAAAAAAGCCATCTATTGACCCATTTACCACTTCTAACTACAGTCCCATGTCCCTGCTCCCTTTTTCCTCAAGCTTCTGGACAGATTTGTTTTTACCCATTGGGCTTGTTTCCTCAATTCCAACTCTCTCCTCGACATCCTTAAATCTGATTCCACCCTATCCATTCTACAGAAAGCACTCTAATTAAATTACAAATGATCTAATTGCGGTTAAATGCAAAGTACACTATTCCATACTGATTCTTATTGACCTCTCTGCTGCCTTTTACACTGTTGATTATGTTCTCCAAACTACTCAATCACTCGGTTTCTGTGGCAATGTCTCTGCATGATTTTCATCCCATCTATCCCAACGTTTATTTAGTGTCTCCTTTTATAATAATACCTACTCCTCTTTTCCTTTCTCAGTTGGAGTCTCCCAAGGCTCCTTTCTTGGTTCCCTTCTGTTTTCTCTGTATACTGCCACTCTTGCAAAATGTATTACTTTACTTGAATTCCGCTACCACCTGTATGCCAATGACACCTAGATATATCTTTATTCTGCCATCCTACAACCTTACCGCTTGCCTTTCTTCCATCTCTGATTGGATGTCTTCCCACTTTATGAAACTCAATCTCTCTAAAACTGAGCTTATCTTTTCTCCTCATGATACTGATCATCCTCTTCCTCTCTCTCTCTTTCTCTCTCTCTCTTCAAGTTGATGGTACCTGCATCAGCCCATCCTTGGAAGCTCACTATATAGGTGTTATCTTCGACTCTGGCCTCACCTTTGATCCTCACGTCCAAAACATAGTGCATAGCGCTACCTAAATGTGAGCCAAAGGTGAAATAAATGAAACCAAAAATGAGAGCCTGACATGTGTTTCTGCGTGTTAATATGCAGTCGTCATGGGCAGACGGCATATTAAAATGCAGAAAAGCATGTTGGGTGTTCATTTTTTGTTTCATTTATTTCACCTTCATTTCACATTTAGGTAGCACTATGCACTTTTGAGTGATATTATCTTTCAGTTACTTTTGGTGCAGGTGGGCACTAGCCTTGTGCCGTGTTGAGTTAAATAGGGACAATAAGTGTGCGTGCTGATTTTTAGGTCAACCCTAGACTATCACCTTTAGTTCCCACCAGTAGGGAATCTCTTTGATTGGTTGTAGGTGGTAGCCATGCCCCCTGCCCCTCTTTCCTCTAGAGGTAAACCACTAGGTGGGAGATAGCTTTCCTTAGATGGATTTTAGCTCCTTTTCTCTAGGGTCTCTTAATGGAGACTATCCCTTATGTTAGGATTCTCCTTTTCCTTGTGTTTTCTTAGAGCTGTTGTTTCTCTATCCCTTATTTTAGATCACATGGTAGGAGCTGGTTACTTCCCATCCCTATCTCCTCTGCTATTACGTGCCCAAACACGAGGATAACTATTTATCCAGTTCTCAGATGCACTTACATGGAAGATAAGTGCTCCCTTGCTGATTTAATAGCTCATCTGTTGATATTAATAAATGTTGTGGTTTTTTTTTGTCTGACTATTAGTATATTAGACTGGGCTCTTTCCCACTAGCCTCCTCTTAGAAGGTGTCTACTGGAATTTTTGACCTCTATCCATTAGTTTAAAAGATACTAGGCCAAAAATGATCAAATTAGTAGCTAAACTGTTAGTGGCAAAGTTTAGTAAAGTAGATTCCGCTAACTATAGAATTCTGAGTGTGTATACATAAAATATTATAATATATAATTATATTTTATATATACACACTCAGAATTCTATAGTTAGCGGAATCTACTTTACTAAACTTTGCCTTTTCTTAAAAGCACTAACAGTTTAGCTACTAATTTGATCATTTTTGGCCTAGTATCTTTTAAACTAATGGATAGAGGTCAAAAATTCCAGTAGACACCTTATATATATATATATATATATATATATATATGTGCACACACACATAATTCTATAATTAGCGGAATCTACTTTATTAAACTTTCGCTTTTTATAACTTTGTTAAAGGAAAGACCACTATTTTAACAGTTGTGTGAGAATTTTAGTGTGCATTTTAGCTAGAACACTGACGCTGTCCTTGTAAACTTTGTTGAGGGTTAGTTATCGTATCTGTATGAGATAATACACCTGCATAGTAAAGGATGCATTAATTTGTAAATGCCTAAACTGATCATTTTATAGAGTGTGTTTTTCAGTGAAGGTAAAAGATGGGAAACAATAGCTGTTATGCAGTTCAAATCGTATTGTTTGAATTGCAGACCTATTGGCCCATAACCTTTAATGAGCCAGAAAGAGGTTGCTCTATGTTTGCTCTTCTAAATTATTGCTACTGGGAGGGCAAAATGTAGGAGATGACCCCATTAGTCTCTGAGAAGGGTAGTGTCTATAGCTGTTAACCCCATGGTGATAACACATTTCGGCCATAATACCAAGGACTATAAAAATATTAATGTTGTTATTGCTTAATTTTTATACATTAAGATTAATATTGATATTTAAGCCATGGTCACAACTATAGGTATGCCCCTTCTCAGTGTCTCCACTCTGCCGGTGACCTTCTCCTGTCTGCTGCTCTCACCTATAATGCTAACTCGCGCTTGCAGGACTTCTCATGGGTGGCTCCTTTCCTTTGGAACAGCCTGCCTACCACCATCAGCCTCTCCCCTAGTCTTCAATCATGTAAGTAGTCTCTTCACTAACCTCATCACTTCCAGTAAGGGGAATCAGATAGCCACTGTGCAACACTCCTGCTGGGGTAGGGAAATCTGATGGAGGCTCTGAGCATGCTAATGATGAGCTAGCAGCTGTCCTGGGAACTCCTCAACAAGGTCCTGAAAGGTAAGTAAAGCTAGTTTTACACTTGCTTTATAGTTAGCGCATTCACCGAGCACAGGGACATGGGACATTTGGGGTTCAACAATTTTGAGACTCAATGTCATTATAAGTTGAATTTGGGGAAAACACTTGAAGAATTGGTTGTGTTGAGCTATGTCTATTGCTTTTGTTTTATTTGTTCATTAAAAAAAAGCTGAAAGTCTGTACATTGTAACAATAAACTTGATTTTCAATGGAGGTTGAATAATTTTGATTACAACTCTTTTTGAAAAGATTATTTTTCTTACGTTCTAATAAACCTGACACTTCCCACTTCAAGATTGCACAATTTAGGTTTGGACATACCCTCCATCTGACAGTTGTTTTCACAGAGTGAACTGAGCATGTAGACTTGAACAACAAGAGGAGGAAGACACAGGAGGAGGTCACAGTGTTTAAGAACAACTTGACACTCCCCTTGGAGGGGATGAAAGGGAGATGTATTCAGCACAAAGATGCAGGACACCCTGAAGGAGGTGACAGTAACCTGTCCACCCTGAAGGAGGTGACAGTAACTTTCTTTAACCTGTCAAACTGGATTTCTTGTAAAGTCGAAATTATCTATTCTTTCAAAAGGATTATCTTTTGTGCCTACTAATGGAGGTGATCCCTTTCGCTGTCAGATTGAACAATTTATATTTGTGCACACCCTCCACCTGACAGAGTTTTTTCACAGAGTGAACTGAACATTAAGGCTCTTACACTGAGACTTTGAAGCCAGTTTGACCCCCCTGAAATTATTAAATCCTATGTCCAGAATGTGCATTCTGATTTGGATTTAAGTTTGAATAATGAACAGAATCTACAGCACAGAGACAAGCTCTACATAGATTATCAATAGATTCCACCATAACTATCCGCCATGCATTAAAAGAGTCTGAATAGTTACAAACAACTATACCACCCTATCACCTGGAGATTTTACGCCAACTAACAGACAGACGTACCTATGATAGCATTGAAAGAGATCCCTGTAGCGTTACTTACCTTATCAAGGGGCCGGCCGCGGTCCTCTCTTCAAGCCGCACGCTGTCCTGCTGCTGCACGAGCCGCGCGCGGCTCATCCAACAGCTTCAATAGGAAGGCGGGCAGGGACCGCGAGAAGCGGTCACGTGTCCCGCCTGAATCTAAGAGCGTGCCGCGAGTCTCGGGCGCGCTCTTAAAGAGACAGTGGGAGCCTAAATTGTCAAAAGGCTCCCATTGGCCCCTGTCATGCCACACTCCCCATACACTTACCTTTTGGGGGTGTGGATATGACAGGAGCCAATCACATTAGTTTAGAAGCTATTTAAACTTACCTCTTCCTTTACTCCCTGCCCTATCGTGGTTTCTGTTTCAGTTCCCTTTAGCGCTTGTTGTGTTCAGTTGTGTTTTCTTCGTATTGACTTTGGCTTTGTTTCTGACTACGTTTTCTCTTTATCCTTATCTGTTCTGGTTGCCGGCTTGCTGTTTACTGTGTACCAGACCCCGGCTAGTCCTAGTTTACGCTGTCTCTCTGTGCCCTTGACTTCGGATCGTTCCTGACTCTGTGTCCTCTCATATACGTCGAGTCCGGCCATTCTAAGGTCCGGTAGACGTATCTCTCCTCTGTGTTGTCTTCTGTTTAGTTGAATCTTGCGTGTTGGGGTATATTCTCGTTACAATCCCTGTGTGAAATTCCAGAATAAAGTACATTCTGTCTTACAAATGGATCTTGATAATGGCTTTATAACACACGACACGTTTAATTAATTACCTCTTTGAACAACATCTTAAATGACCGATCTTAGATACCTTACCCAAAATCCACTTAGGATCCAATTAGGCCCCCTGGGCAGCCAATTGTTTCAGTAAAAGGAGGCTTACTTGAGCCAATTTCAAGGTGACTGGAATGTATCTTTAAGGGCCCTGTAATGGCACTGAAAACTTGCCTTAACGACACTTCTGACATCATTTCCAGATTAAGAGAGATTGAAATCCCTCTACCGGGGGTTTATTTGTTATCCTGGACATCAGCAGTCTCAGTCTCTATATAACTATCCCCAAGTAGGGGGAATTGAAGCTTTGAAGAAAGTACTTTTGGACACAGATCACTTGGTAAGATACCCCACCTTTTCATCTAGCTCTAACATTAAATTATTTCAGATCTGAAAATTGCTTTTATGTACAACACACGGGTGCATTGATGGGGTCAGCCATGACCTCAAAAATGCCTCACAAGTGGCTAGACATTTCTTTGAGGCAGGATATTAATTACCACCCCTGAGTTTTATGGGAATTGATCATGTCTCCCTTCTCAGGAGGCAGGGATTGAGACAATGAACTGCTTTTTAGGGAAGCTTTTTGGATTATCACCTTGAATACTGTATCCCCTCGAGTTTAAAATTAGAAAAATCCATGAACTGATTCTACTGAGGAGCTGTTTATGAATTTTTTGAATATTTATTTAGATTTATTTTATTGTTTATGTTGCTGCTTTTGTGTGCATCATTCAGTAGCTTTCTCATTTCTATTTGCTTACCTTACGATCTTGTTTCTTACTATGTTGTTGTGTCACCTTTTGCCTTTGAAGGAAGTTTGCCAATGTATGGTCTTTCACTCCCTCTGGCTTCAGCATTATATGCAGTGAAGGTAAGTTAATTTATTTTGTTTTACTTGTTTTATACCATCCATTGTTGGGTCCATTTAATAATGTTTACCATATTTTAAAATGTAAACTATTACCCTTATTTGTGTATATGGAGTACAAATGCAACGGGATTTATAGTGTTTAATGAATACTGGTAATTGATGTTAAATTACTATGCTCTATTTAATCTTTATGTAATATGTTTTATTTGTTTATATTCAGGGTGACCAGATCCACCATGTTTACAGCAACACATAAAATTTTGTCATATTTATGAATACAAATTAAAAGGGTTTCTCTGCAATTTGCATAATGCATATTCTGCAGGATTCTACATTGCCCAATTACTTAATCTGATATATAAAAAAAACGATTGATAAAGCCCTAACTGCGAAATGCACCTTGGAAAATTTCAAAAGGAAAGGACTTTTTTATTTACTGATTTTATTTTGAGTGTTAACTTTTTATGCTCTGTTTTAAACCCTCTTTTATTTTGGAATAAATTTCCTCAACAAATCCCTTTCTCTATCTTCACTTTATTACATCGGGATCCCAGGTTCCCAGAGGGAAGTGTCACCCTATGATTTGACACTGTGCGCAGAGTTGGAAACCAGTTATATTAACAGGCTCCTAAAAAGGTGAGCAATTTTTTTTGCTGTACTTGGTTATTTTTATTAATTTGGTTGATACAATCTGCACCTAGATCTCTGTGTTTTTTCTATTTCTATATCTACCTGTGAAAGAAAGTCACTACAGAAGGTCTACGAGCCACCTAAAAAGGCCCTAAAAGCTACAGTGTTTAGAGCCTTTACCCCCTAAAAAGGCTCTAACAAATGTGAGTGTGACCATACATAGATCTAATCATTTTTACTGTATATGTACTAACTATATTGCACTATTTTGTATATTTTTCCCTTCTTTTACATGGGATTTTACCCCATACCATTTTAAGGGGTAAGTAAGACTTTGAATAGCGCTGCACTAACACTTTTTGTGTTTAAGTGGTGGGACATATCACCTAAACAATTAGTTTGTTTGTTTTACTTAATCTGATATACCTTCTTAATTCAACACAATACAGGGCTGGCATTTTACATGTGCTGCCCAACAATATGTATATATGATATGTCCCAGAAAATTACTGTATAGCTGTTTTTATGTGTGTCATTTAGTAGATTTCTCACTTTCTATTTGCTTACCTTCTGGATGTGTGGCTTCTCCCTATGTAGTGGTGTCTCTTTTTACCTAATTGGGGGTGTTTGCAGTTGGGTGATTTTTCACTCCCTCTGCTTTCA